CAAGAAAACATGTACAAGGGCAGGTTTGGTATGCTTCCAATCTACTCAAGGTAACTAAATTAAAAAAGAATGGACAGATTTCATAATGCCCTTCACAAAAGGAACTGTTGTGGGCATTCCCTAGAAAGCCAGTATTGGCAGGTTGGACCATATATTCTGAAAGAGAACTTTCCATCTCCCACTATTCTAACTCAGCATGTATCAGGCATGTACCCACTAAAGAAAATTTCAGTGGCCTATAGCATCCATATTATCATTTGGGTCTGAAAGTGACTCCTAGAATACTATCTCAGATAACAGCTTGCCTGAGGCATGAGGCAGGGGAACCATGTGTAGCCAGATTAGTGCTTCTTCCCTCTCTCATCTATCTTGGGGGAAGTTGTCTCCCAAGGGTGGGTCCTGTCTTCAGCTTTTCAGAGAGCAATCCAAGAATCAGAGCTGAAAAACTACTCAGGGACCTTTAGGACCCATGGTGTAAGAAGTTTCACACTGAGGAATCTTCCTTTTGTCTCACCCTGGTACACAGTTCTTTGTAGTAGAGCCTTTCTCCCTGCCCTCAGTTTTTTTTATGTCTAATGTGAGGCCCTGGGTATAAGGCAGCAGTCCCATTTTCCTCAACTACACTTTAGTTAATGGCAGCATCCTTTTAGCTTGTTCTGCCTCTGCCACTGTCTTTTAACTCTAAGACCTCAGTTGAACCCAACAGTTCTCCATGCTGGGTTATCCTACCTTGTGCAACTAACACTTTTGCAGGAATGAAGGGCTGGGCCTGGCCCTCCCAGCCTTATCAAACCTTTCTTCTTAAGTCTGGAGTATTCAAATATACAAGTCCTCCAGGAACTGGAATGTGATGTTTGGGGTGAAACTAAACTACAAAGGAATGGAATCAAAGTAGCTCTTTAAATTTTTATAAGCTGAATAAAACCAAACCCTGTCCCTGGGTAGTCACATTATCCTACTTAAAGGATAAACTTATCCTATTTTGAATATTTTCTCAGAAGCTGATAAACAAGGATGAGTAAGAATTTAATGAAATTAATTTTTTCAACATTATATCTCTACACTGGGTAAAGGTAAATCTTTTTGAGCTACATGATATTAACCCTGTGGTTTGCTCCCTTTTCAAAAGACTTACAAATGCTCCTGACTTACAGTGGGGTTATTACTCAACAAACCCATCATATACGAAAATGTTACAAGATAAAAATGCATTTAATCTACCAGATCTACCTTAAGTGTTCTCAGAACACTTACATTAGCCTTTAGATGGGAAAATTATCTAACATAAAGCCCATTTTATAATAAGGGACTGAATAGCTCATGAGATGCATTGAATCTGGCACACTGGGGAATATGATAGTTTACCCTGGCCATCCCATCCATGGGTGACCAGGAGTTTCAGCTTAAAAATTCAAGAGAAAATTTTACTGCATATCACTAACCTTAGAAAAGAACAAAATTCAAAATTCACATGGAGTGTGGCTTCTACTGAATGCAGATCATTTTCACAACACCATGAGGTAAAAAATGCCAAAGTCAAAACATCCTAAGTGTTTCCTATCTGTATTTGTATTTGTAGTCCTGGTTAGGTGCTCCTGGTATACCATAACTAGATAGATTAAGTGCCTGATAATCAATTTTTCCTGACTTAAGCTCCAAAATTTATTTTGAGGTTTTTATTTGATAGAACATAGTAGTATACCAGCTGAGAAGAAGAAGAAGGGCATTTTAAATGTTAGATGCAGAAAACCAGAACCAGGGCTAGCTTTGTGGCTCAAATGGTAGATTGTAAGCCTAGCAAGTATAAGGTGATGAGTTTAACCACATGGGGAAGAAAAATAATACTATCGTTTTTTAAGCTTCTATGTGGAATTGTTTTGTCTCATCAGATATGTGGACATTTAAAACCTTGGAATAGGACTTAATTTATTTTCTTTGTTTAAAGTACATTTTGTTTTAAAAAATGAATCTCAATAATAACCAAACAGAAAAATGAACCTAATTTCTTCATTATGACCTTCAGAATGATGAACAGTGTTTAATTTTGGAAAAGTATTCTTTAAATGCCAGTATGTCAAATTACTGACTCCTCTTTTAGAACAGAGCTTGTATTTCAGTGTTAAAACATACTCTGAATCCCAAAAAACCTTGAGTTATATGGGATAAAAAATAGCTTTTTAACATACTTAACTAATCTTAATTGTCCATCTATAATCCTGGTGTCTAGAAGGTACATGCAAGGGAATGTGAATTATAGCAGTTCATATCTCTTCATTTTCTTCATAATTGTGCTCCTTACATCATTGAAATGTATAAATGTCACCCACCAAAGTCTAAGCCTCTTTAATTACAAGAGTCAGCTATTTGGTCATCATGCTTTAAAAGCATGCCTAGATGTACTTGCTCACTCTGTGCCCTCTAGCTGGGATACTTTAAGCCCTGGTCCCAAATTCACTTAATCTGAGGAGATTTAAAACATTCCAAGGCCCAGGTCATATTCTAGACCCATTAGATTATATGCCTGGGAGACAGGCACTGATAATTTTTCAAAGTCCCCAGATAATTCTACTATGTTGACAAGTTTTTGAAACATGAACTTGTTGCCAGGCAAACTACTGCTCATCATTCCCATCTCAGATAACAAGGGATGTCAGATGCCCTCCCTGAAGGTCCTACACCTTTCCACCATTTGTCTTGCATATCTCCACCAGAGCAAGCATTAAGGATGCCAAAACTGTTTACTTGCATATGTATTCCCCAATCTACTATTAGACTCAGGAGTATTTTCATTTTGAATCCCAGGGTCTAATCCTGTGCCTGTTGCATGAGGATATTCAATACCTTCAAGGAATGAATAACATTTTCCTAAGAAAAACAAAACAAAAAGTATTGGGTTGTGTGATATGTAAGTACTTTGGGAAAAGTAATAATTTAAGATGTTCAAATGATGTTTCACTGGTGGACAGTGTTCTATATTTAGGAAAGCACCTCATCGTGTCAGTGAAAACAAAACTACATCCCAATAACAAAAGAATAATAGAACTTTGAACCATCTACAAAATTGCATTCCTTACTGTAATAAGCACAAAAAACATTTCCCGTGGTAAGAGATATCTAAAACAACCCATCAATTCCTTTTCTATCTTTAGTATTTTTTTCTAAATCAATCCATTTAGAATTTTATGGTCTTATAGGGGTTTAGAAAATGGACTTAAAAGTTTAGAGTACTTAGTTCACAAAATATATGATGTAAGACTCTGGATTGTTGCATTCACACTGTTAATATGATCACTGGAATTTGGGAAATAGTCACATAGTAAATTTTGCCACAATCTAACTTTAGACAGTAAGTCCAATATTTAACACATACTGCTTTTGGTTTTTGGGGGTTTTTTGAGACAGGGACTCACTCTAAACCCAGGTTGGTCTAGAACTTGTGATCCTCTATCCTCAGCAGCTTGAGTGCTGGAATTTATAGGCATGTGCCATTCGCCCAGCTTAAACACGTTTGTTGTTTTTTTTTTTTAAAGCTATTTAAAATATTTTGCCTAATTATTTTATATTTGAATCGTTTCACAATCTAGCAACTTTTAAAAAATCTGCTAGATTTTGATTCATGAAACCAGAAAATAAATCAGATTTAGGAACTGTTTTTTCCAAGATACTAATATATTTCTCATATATCTCATCATGCACATGAAATGCTGGATTATCTCATTAGACATCAAGACCTTACTAATATTCAATATGCACTCATTTCGAATGCATATGGCCCCCAACATGAAAAAGCTGTGGAGACAACTATCCCAAAGTGAGCTTCAGCTATAATGAACCCCCAAATCGAACATTTTTTACTATACAAACAAGGCACACAGGCACATGTTCAACCAGTATCAGCTAGCTTACTATTTACGATGTCTGGAGCAAAAGGGGAAATTTTAAAGTTGGCTTCTGTGAACAACACATGTTGGGGAAGTGTTTGTTCTCAGGTCCTTCTCTGCTTCCTTGTCTCCTCATCCACAGACTCCTTAACTCATAGGTCAACAAAGTCAACGGGAGACCTAGGAGGGCAGAAGCCCAGGCCTTTGGAGCAGGTCCCAGTGGTGCAGTGACCACAGGGGTGTAAGCCCTCCCCCACCCCCGAACCTAGAACCTAACAACTAAACGTGGCAATGAAACATCCATGAAACACCTTTGTCCCTCTGCATCATTTGCCACCCCGCCGGCCACCCTCAGGAGAGGGCAAAAATCCTTTCTGGAAGGTCACAGGCACTAAATCCTGGAAAACAGGAGAGGCCGACTGAACGGGGGAGGCCTGGCTTCCTTGGCGGCGCCTCCCCAGCCAGCATAAAACCTGGGAGGGCGCGGCATCCCAAGGGGTGGGTGGGCAGGTGGGTGCGGGACCGGAGGACCGAGGAAAACGAGGAGTCACGAAGCCTCCCCCGCTGGGGACCGCCTCCTCTCTGAGTGGCCTCCCCTGTTTGTTCCGAATTAGTAAGCGATGCTCAAGCCAAACAGCCGCCCCCGACCAGCGCGTCTTAGCTCTGAAGGGAGCGTCCCAGGGGAGCGGGGGCTGAGCGGCGGAGAGGCCATTTGGCTGGGGGTGGGGGGGCGGTGGCCCGACTGTGTCCCCTTGCGCCTCTGACTCCGTCGCATGGGGAAGGGCGTACAACGCCGCGGTCCACGCTACATCGTCCTCCTGAGCTTAGCAGGACTCCGCCAGGACCAGAGAGGGGCGGCTCCCCTCGTTTTCTCCCGCCTCTGGCTCGTCGCACCCCTCCGCAGGACGCTTGGTTAGGTCCGGGGCGGGGCGGGCAGCGCTCCACGTGCAGCCGCGAGCCCTGCGCTGCGCTCCCGCTGCTCCGCGGCCTCCGCCGCCACCTCGGGGCGGGCAGGGGCGGAGCCTCAGGTCGGGCGGGGGCGGGGCCTCAGGGGGCGGGCCTGGAGGCGTGGGCGAGGGGCGGGGCGGGCCGGAGCGCACGTCTGGCCGCCGGGGCCAGGGGCTGAGAGCAACAGCCAGGCTCGGCGCCGGCAGGAAGCGACCACGAGCTGACCGGAGTCCGACGCCTGATGCCTGGGACTTCTCGAGGTACTAGCAGGACTTCGGCGCCGGTAGTCCTCCTAGCCCGCCTCTAAACCCAGCCACGGCGCCCGTGCCGCTCGCTGTGCCCCCTGCCGGCCGGGCGGAGATGGTTGGACGGTTTTGGAAGGGTTTCTAAAGTCGCGAGTCCCGGCACAGCCAGTGCCCCCCTCTCCGCGTCTTTCTTCTTCTGCTCTTCGCCCCCTTGGTTCTGGGCGTCGGGCACCGGGCGAGCAGGTCGCTTCTCCGCGAGTCGGAGCTCGCCCACGCCGCGGCGGGAGGACGGGGCCCCGGGGCAGCCCAGCCCGGCCGCGGGGGAGGCGCGGAGCTCCGGGGCCGCCTCTGCGGCGAGGGCGGGAGGCCGGCCGGGCTGCGCGCTGCGCCCCTGGGCTCCGTGCGCCGCGCCGGGGTCTCCGGATCGCTGGGTTCCCCCGATCTCGGGGCTCCGCGGTGGCCTCCGGCGCCCTGCTCTGGGGGCGCCTGCCTGTCGCGCCCCGTCGCTGTGATGGGCCGCTGGGACCAGCACCTGAGCTCGGCATTCTTGAGGGCTGTGCGGTGTCGCCTGTTGTGTGCGCGCGGAGGCCGGGCAGTCCGGCTTCGGGAGGGACTTAGGCGCAGCGTCTGTCCCGCGGTCCCTCAAAGTGCCTAGTCCGGGAAGCCGGAGGTTCGGTTGGGGCTCGTCGGCTGCTGAAGGGGGACTCGGAGGGCTTAGGGGAGGAGGGACGAGGCCTGCAGAATTTGGGTTTCTTGAGGAGCTTGAGGCGCGCAGGCCGGGCGCCAGGCAAAGGCGACCACCCGCCTCCCCTCCGAGAGGGCGGGCCGGGCGTTGTCAGGTATAGACAGCTGGGGGCCACCCACGTGAGGTCTGCAAGGATTAAAACAACACCTTGAGTCCCAGGATGGGATAGGCTCATAGTGGAGCGTTTTCTTAAAGGCAGGAATAGACGGAAAAGCTGTCAAAGTAAGCACATTTTAAAGTTGAAAGCTGGGTGTACAGTTGGGTAGCTGGTGTCCAAAGACATATTCACTCGTCGTACTCCCTTACACCCTTTTCATTATTAGTTTTTTAAACAACGAGTTAGTTTTGCCACTATTTCCCTCAGGAGTTGTGCATTGGCCAGAGCAGGGAAGGAAAACCTCAGCAAGGGTTCTCAGGTTGCTTTTGACTTCAAGCCTGTGCTTTTCTTGCACTTCTGAATGTGGAAGAAAAAGTGCTGGATTTTCCATGCATGACTCCTTCTTTTCTTCTCTGGGACCCGGCGATGTTTGTTTATTGGTTTTCTAAGCATCTACTTAAATTTAGTTTTTGCAGGAAATACTCCCTGTTGCCACAGGGTGTAGTTTGGGGATTAGAAAATGCTGTTGGAGAAAGCTGCTAGTGGCTTCATTTTCCAAGAATGTAAGTCATTTCCTTTCTGTGATTTCAGGGAGTTGATATTTCATAGCATCAAAACTTTGTAGGGAAAATTTTCCGTAATACATCTGTCATTAAAAAGGCCTGTGACTTTTGGGTTTCCTTCTTAAGAGCAGTGGATAAATGTAGGCCCAGCAGTGTTTAAGTACAAGAAGTTTCAGAATCTAGAGTAGCATGAGACTACTGTAGGAAGTAGTTTTAAGAACTAAGACCCTACAATGCAGATGAAGGGTGGGGGAGGGGAGAAGACCAGAAAGAGGCAGGAAAACAGATGCTTTTGCTGGGGTCCTTTGTAATATAAAGCTTCTAGCACCTCATCATTTTCCTTGGGTGTGGTTTTGAGAAATAAAAGTTTTATGTTAAAAATAAAAACTCCACACAGTCTGAGGCAGCTGACATTTGAATGCTTTTTCAGTCTGTTTGTAAACATATTGGATTCATATTTCATATTAAAGTGGACCTTTGGTAGGATTATTAGATGAAAAGGGTCCCCAGGGGGATATCCCCTATCAAGTTATCTGCAGGATGTCTTCTCCAGAAAACAGACTGGCTGTAATATGAACTAATCACCGCCCCCCCCCCCCTTTTGAATTGCTTAGAAGAACTCCTGTGGTCTGATACTGATGGGCCACACTAATCAACAGTTTGTGCAGTGCTCAAAACATTTTAAAGGACCGGAAATCGTCCTCTGTTTTCCATCCCCTCCTCTTTGGGGGAACAAGAGTAAGATACTGCCTCAAGTACACAATCTGAACTTGCAGGTTTAAGGTACCCCTTCCTGTACAGGAAAATGCCTGACAACAGCATGGACCAGCGTGGACACACTACTTTTGAAAGCAAAATGCCAGTGTTGTGGGTAACAGTTTTCAGCTACACGTTCTTTAAAAACTGTCATTCAGCTGTGCTAACTGAATTAGGAGCAGTTGTAGACCTTATTCTAGTTTCTGGACTTGGTTTCCATGTTTAACTATGCTTATAAAGCTTTTGGCTTTCAGAACTGATGACATAATAGACTGTGTAGCCTTTTGTGGCAGATGCTTGGAATGAAAGTTTCAAACAGAATTGTTTTCGACTGAGCTGTCAGCTTTAGAGTTTAGTGTAAGAGAGTCCTGTCTCACAACTAACTTTTTGATAAAGGAATTCTTTGTAGTTTTCAACTTGGATATTGCACATTTTGAATTCTAAAGCTGTGGCTTTAAAAAAAAAAAAGCTGCAAACAATTATTTTATTACATGAAAGCCAGTACCAAGAAAAGATTAATTCGGTCCAGATGTAAAAATGTGTGTGAATTTTAGATTTGGATGATCTCAAGTTTTCCCTTTTGTTGTTGAGGCTGCCTGCATCCCAGATGGCATGCACAAATTGTCCCTTAGGTAGTTTTCTAAATTGAGGACTAAATTTCATGGCCTTTCCCTAAAGTCATTTTAATACTGTTTTAAGTCCTCTCAAGGATAGAAAGCTTTCTACATACATGCAGAGATGGGTTTTTTTTTTTCATTATTATTATTACTCATTAGTACAAACCTCATAATTCCAGTTTGGTACATGAAGCCTCTTTCTTAAGTAGGAAAGTAAGAGGTAATTTTGCGTATCTTTGTGGGCAAAACATAGAGTCTCTGGCTTTCATTTATGCAATTCCAACTTCTTTTACAGAAACAAAAGTTATAGGTATGTTTACAGTCTTCAGTAGAATCCTGCTTATAACATAGTTTGTGGTTTCAGGTGTAGCAAGTGGTTCTTGCATGATTACCCTCAGCCGTCCTTATCTATCTCCTCTCACCCAACAAACAATAAACACAACTTAGAAGAAAAGTTCAGGTATACTTTTAACTTGTATTCCTAATACCAGAGTTATAAAGGATGCTAATATACAAGTAGATATTTTTATATATTATGTATTTTTAGGAAATCTTTGTGTAATTTTGCAATTATACATCTTGGGAGTTTGCTACTTGTGATTATGTACAAAACAAAGGGTGGACTAGCAAAGAGCTAAGTGAAGAAATTTTTGAGTAGTGACATTTTAGTTTAAATGTATATTCCCTAAACCCAAGCAGGAAAAATGGTATTGCTGGCCTCTGTGGTGAATCTTTGATGTAGGGGCAGCTGAAAGGGCTTTTGGAATTGCACATTATCCTGGAGAAGAGGCTTTGGGGGCCTGTGAAAATAAGTAGAAGCAAGTTAAAGGGATAATTTGGGAGGAAGGAGGATGTGGAATACTGGGCATTAGATTGCAAGGAAAAATTAAATTTAGAGGATACGTAGTTAAAAACAAGGCTGAAGTGGGGAGAGCTTCCAATGTGAAAATGGAAATTAAAGAATAAGATCTTTTTGAGCTGAAAAAAAAATTAAATTATTACAATTGAGGCATCCATAACGTCTGGATGAAGTATGGAGTAGGGCTGCTAACTGATATTTATCCTGGAAACCTAGCCAGCCTTAGTGTTGAATCATTAGTTTGGTGTTTAATAATGTGTAGGGACTGGATACTTATTACTGCAAGCCCCCCCCAAGCCACTTTCCATTCAAAGACTGTAAACATATTTTATGTAGGTGCTAATGATTCTACAAATATTCAGTTAGTCCCACAGCACTGGGGAACTACTAATTCCTGCCCACTTTACCAAGGGACCAAGAAGGTTCTACAACAGTAATGATTGAAGTCACTGTAAAGTTTTGGGTAAAAGTGAATGATTTGTGTTCCTAATTATTTTGCATGATTTATCGGTATAATTATTTCTGATGCAAGTTTGTGTACTATCACTTTTTATATGCTTCAAACGGAGCAATCATGCAGTACACTATATTGATCAAAGAGAGATTACAGAACACTGAGAAGGGGACAGAAATCATTGATCTGACAGCTGGTTGGATTATTTCAGGAAGAGAAAAATGTGCTGGAACAAATTTGAAGATGGACCAAATATTGTCCCAAGGAGAAAGCAGTGTTTTCCTGGAACTTTCCTGGAGTTGTCTGTAGCTCAGCATTTTCTTGAACATCTTTCCTCCCTGCAAAGCCTTAAGTAGCTGAGTTCAATGTACACAGTAAGAAATAAGGGAGAGATGTGGTCATGACCCAGGCCGTTGAATTAATGTGCTGATGATTAGGATGATTCTGGCCTAATGTGTCTATTTAGACACATGTATTCCCAATGCGTTGTCCTTGGGTATTTTCAGATGTTTTCCAACATTTTTATATTTTGTGTAAGGAGATATTTTATGTTAATTTAAAGCCAAAGTTTCATGAGAAAGAGAAAGTCATTATAAAAATAAAGCAACTATCTTAAAAATGTGTTTTTTCAAAAATGAAGGACAGGAAGGTAAAGCAGGTCCTGTCTGGAGGTATGTGCCTGTGGGATGGGGGAGGTCATAAGAAATAGTGTGGGAGGTGAATATGGTGGAAATGTTACGTACTCACGTATGAAAACGGAAACGAGACCTGCTGAAACTATTCTAAGAAGGGGGAAGGGGGTAAAGGAGAATGATGGAGGGGGTGAGTCTGAGGTATATTGTAAGCACTTTTTAAAATATCACAATGTAACCCCAGTCCAATAATAATATGCTAATAAAAATAAAATAAAATAATAAAGCAGCT